AAAGAAAGAAAACTGGCAGGACATAGTGGCTCATTCCTTTAATCCCAGCACTCTTTGAGGCCAAGGCAGTTGGATTGCTTGAGCTCAGGAGTTCAAGACCAGCCTGAGGAAGAGGGAGACCCCCATCCCTAAAAATAGCCAGGTATTATGGCAGGCACCTATAGTCCCAGCTTCTCCAGAGTCTGAGGCAAGAGAATCATCACTTCAGCCCAACAGTTTGAGGTTGCTGTGAGCTATAACAGCACCGCACTCTACGGAGGACATCAAAGTGAGACTCTGTCTCAAACGAACAGAAAAAAAAAAAAAAAAATAGAAGTTGTAAACAGTAAGATAGTTCCAGAAATATCTTACCTACAAATAGGTTAAGGTCTAAGTATAGAGCTAAATTTTATTTTTAGTTTAATTATTCTTGATAAAATTATGTTGGTCAGGCTTAGCGCCTGTAGCTCAGTGGCTAGGGAACCAGCCACATACACCAGGGCTGTCAGGTTCGAACCCAGCCTGGGCTTACTAAAGAAGAATGACCACTACAACAAAAAAAATGGCTGGGCATTGAGGTAGTCCCAGCTACTTGGGAGGCTGAGGCAAGAGAATCGTGTAAGCCCAAGAGTTTGAGGTTGCTGTGAGCTGTGATGCCTTGGCACTCTACTGAGGGTGACATAGTGAGACTTTGTCACAAAAAAAAAAAAAATAATATGTTGGTCATGTTTATTTTGATAAAGGAATATATTTTACAGTGATATTTCTATTATGGTACAAATAGAAATAAAACCAAAAAGTTGGTCAGCCTCTTTTGCCACAGAACTTTTTTTTGTGTGTGTGTGTGACAGAGCCTCAAGCTGTCACCCTGGGTAGAGTGTTGTGGCCTCACAGCTCACAGCAACCTCCAACTCTTGAGCTCAAGCGATTCTCCTGCCTTAGCCTCCCAAACTGCTGGGACCACAGACGCCCACCACAACGCCCAGCTATTTTTTGGTTGCAGCTGTCATTGTTGTGTGGTGGGCCAGGCTGAATTCAAACCCGGTAGCTCAGGTGTATGTGGCTGGCACCTTAGCGGCTTAAGCCACAGGCACCAAGCCTGCCACAGAACATTTTAAAGCAGCAGCAAAAACATTGTATCTTTGAGTCCTGACCTCCCAGCTTCTTCAACCATGGTATAAATCCAACTGTCTGCAAATTCATGTCTTCACAGCATCACAGCTTCTTTAACAAATGAGCTATAGAGGATTGTTGAGTATGTTGAATACCCGCTGTAGATGTGAAATAGCATGCATGACACCATTTGAGGTTCTAAAATCGCTTAAGAGTTTTGTACATGGCCTCCAAATAGGTCTCTGCGTGCTTTTTCTCCTTCATATGTAAAGTGATTTCACTGAACTATAAAATGCAATGTTTAATTTTGTCTGAAAAGAACTATAATATTATAGTCTAACCCCTTCATTCTGCACCTGAGGAATCTGAGTAAGTCTGTAAACAGGGAGATTAATGCCTTGTTTGTTATAGGAGCCTACGTGGATACTTTAGGGCAGAAACTGGCCTAAGAACCCAATCTTCCACCCTACCCATTGTCCTATCTATTGCACTACAGAACTATGCATAGTATTAGAGATACCTGGTAAACGTTATTTTTCTTAAAGAGAGTTAAAGCAGAGTGTTATGTTGTATCGCTCATCTTCGTGTGGTAAATAGCTATGTTAAATGTTTCAGGTATGCCTGATCGACCCAGGATGCTTCAGAGAAATTGATGAGCTTATCAAAAAGGAAACAAAAGGCAAAGGTTCTTTGGAAGTGCTCAATCTGAAAGATGTGGAAGAAGGAGATGAGAAATTTGAATGACGTCCTTCAATCTCATCAACCATAAAACACTAAAAAGTGTTTCTGTTTCCGACAGCACTGTTTCATTTCTGTGACCTGCCAAATACTTACTCGAACTGACATTTTCTATCTTTGTATTAACTGTGTACACAAAAAGACTTTCCTACATAAGTATTGCACTGTGGGGATGATTTAATTTTTAATTTTTGAGTTAAAACTTAAAGCAAAAATGAAAAATCCAAGTAAAAAGTCCAGAGGCGCATTTTGCTGCCGTCTCATGCCTTTATAGCTTTTGAAAAGGAAAGTTATTTGAGGCAGCTCTTTGTGGATAAAAAAGCTAAATTTTGTACAGACAATGAGATTATTTGGAAGATGTGTCTGTATGACAAAAGGGGATTATTTGCTGACAAAGAAAACAAGGTGTCTTAGTTCTATTTAATGAAATTTGTGTGTAGGGGTAACTGGTGTCCTAACATTGGACGATGACTTCCTAATTATCTGAAAGAAAGACATATAATTACCGTGCAGAAATTAAATAATTTTCATTGAACGTGCTGTCAAACTTAGATTGTTCTTGGTAAAAAAAAAAAAAAAGTCATTTATTCTAATTCTTAAAGTTTATAATATATATTAATATAGCTAAAATTATATGTAATCAATAAAACCACTCTTATTTTTCTTAAACGATGGCTTGTATTTCTAGCCAACTTCCTAACTCCCTTTCCTTGCTTTGCCTTTGTGGTATGGTGGGGGAGTTTTCAGGAGGATTAAGTAAATCATGCCGAGTGCTTAGGACAGGGCCTGTTCTGATAAGCATCTCATAAATCTTAACATCTGGGATGTAATTGTATTTAATTATTTTAGTATTTAGTCTTTAAATGGACAAGGTACAAGTTTTTACAAATCTGTCCTCCAAAGAGTTACGCATCTAGAATATAAGTTAGAGATTCACTCCAAACAAACATAAATATATTTGTAGGCACCAATTTTTATTTTAAACTGAAGACAAGTTCTTGACTTGAACAGGTCCTAGTTGGTTTTACAAGCACACAGAAGCTACTACTAATACAAGTTCTCAGAAATGTCCCTTTTTCTTTAAATAACTTCAAAGTATTTTCCCATAGCATTAGAGGGATTCCTGGTTTGTAACGTGGGAGTGAACCCTTTTCTGTTAATGTTGCTGTTTTGATGCTTTCCTTAAGAAAGCCCTTCACTGCTTCATTTTCATATGCATAGTGTGTGGGTTTTGTAAAGATAATCTAAACTCAAAGTCCCAGGAGATAATTTTAACTAACGAAGTTTATGCTCTTTCCAGCTTGAGGAGTTAAAGTGATGTTTCAAATTGAAAATCATAATTA